GAAGCTTAGATGTTATCGTATTTGAAAATCTCAAATATGACATTACACATAAAATATACATGATATGTTAGTACTATATTTTCTTTTGATAAAATTATTTTGCAACACTATGCTTTGGATTAAAAAAATTTGGATCTATCTAGAATATGTTGATTTTGGTTTTATCTTCTAGTGAAACGGCTAATTTACTTTCGAATTGTGACTTTTCATTAGGATCCATATACGTACTAGTGTGTTGTATCGATTCATATCATACTACAAAATTTGACCGATTTTATATTCTAATATAATTTGGCAAAAGCAGACATTGATTATAACATGATAAGTTATACTGTCTAAATGTTGTTGAATCATTGATCAGGTCTGATGGCATGTTATAGTCATCATTTTTATATGGAAAAATATCTGAAAATGTCACTTTGTGAGTTTACAATTACACGAAATGTCACATGAGTGTTTCTATTTACAAAAATATTACTTACATGGAAATATGACGAAAATAATCCTGGTGTATTTGTGTAGGAGTTGCATTAGAAGATACACATATTGAAGGTATTTTCGGATATATTGTGTGTAAGTGACACAAATGAGTGACCAGTTTGTCAATGTGAACATTTGTATATTAAAACTCATTCAGGTAAATATCATTTTCCAAAAAAGAGGTGTGTAGCATCATTTATTTTGTTTGTTTAAATCAATTATAAATGATGTAAATATATTTTACATCGTTTATGTAAGCGACTCTAAAAATGGTGATGCAAATATTAACATCAATTAAAAAAACCGATACAAATATTTTCATCATTTATATTAATCGATGCTAATTTGCATCGATTTAAAAAATTGATGCTAATATTTACATCGGTTTAATAATTGATGCCAAATAATTTTTTATCAATCAAATAAAAATCAGTTTCGAAAATGTTATAAATGGATTATAATTTAAAACTAATCGTAAATGATTTTTTCGATATACCAAGTTAAACTTTAAAGCTAAAGTGAAAAGGTATTTTTTGTCAAATAATTTATTCAGATAAATTACATAAAATATACGAAAGAAAAGTGAAACACCGAAAACAATATAATGGCGATAAATTAATTACAAAGGGAAATAGTTTTACTCAAATTAGCCCTTGCAAAATTTGTTTAGCGATGAGAATCAAATGGTCGTCCTTCTTGTTCTCGTCATCCACATCTATCTTCTCTTCATAACTCTAATACCACAACTGCGAAATCCAAAATACATAAAATAAATTAGACAAAATAA